CTTCGGTAGGTATTTCTAGATGGCGTATTTTATGCAATAACTATGCTGATTATTTACGAAATGTACAATTTTATTATCAATGTTTATGTTATTTACTAGATAATTATTGGATATAAAAGTAAGGTTACAAAAAAAGCACAGTACCACCGAGCACGTGGTAAATCACCAAATTTCCAATCGATCAATTTCATTGATGGCGGCGGAGATCGAACCACGGATACACGCGTGCTGTGGAATTTACAGTGAGAACTATCCAATTGAGCTACCTCCGATCTTTTCACTTCGACAAAAATGTCTAATTATTGGATATCTCCAATAATAATCCCAAATCTCCAAAAGGAAATTTTGTAGATAACATTAACACTAAAACTTGGCCTATTTCACATAAGAATTTTTTAAATATATATAAAAGGCGAAGAAAACGACGAAAAAATTTATAAATAATCATAAGACATCTTATTATGATTTTCACAGGATAGGAATGTAAAGTCGCAAAATATTTTCGTTTTCTGAGTCATTGTATTTTTAATATTCTTTATTTGTGGTTCTTCAATCAATTGAGTTTGAATTATTAAACAATCTTCATCCATGAATGAACACAACACCGATGGATATTCACTGGACCTTTTTACCCTACCTAGTCTCTTCTCTTTCTAAAATATAATTGAGTAGTTATATAGTATATACTGTAGTATCTTACACATGTCATTTCTTATATATTTTATACACTTATGAACTAAATACTCAGCAACATAACTTTTAATTAAATTTTAATTAAATTTGAAAGAACTGTGAACGAATTTTATTAAAAATTGCTATGATGAATTGTCAATTCAAACTTTTTGTTGTTGTGGATTCTGGTCATTAGGTAAGACCCCCAGTTTTATTTAACGAACGCCATCTTTACTACGCTTAAGAAAACTATCCTACAAGTTTATGTACCCCGCTCACTGGAGGGCAGAACTTTCTATGCATATTTTATTCTTGTGAATTTGTATGGAAGTTTCATCCCCCTGGATTTAACAATGCACATATCAAAAGCGTATTGAGTTCGTAAGTTCTTTTTTGATTCTTTTTTAATATTAAAATGTTGTTGGTTATCTTTGACAAACACAGAAATTTCAGGTATGTATATACAAGTCAACGTCAGAAATTTACAATCTATAAATCCATTTCTTAAAGAGTCATATTGATTAATATTATACATAATTCTTAAGCGCTTTTTTGCAAAACAAATGTGGACTGAATGTCAACAGAATTGCCCCAGAATATAATTCCATATGTCAGAAATGGATAGACATGACTATAGTAATAATTTTTTGCTACATCTCTAGATGCTACATTTTTCAATATTGATATGGCGTAACAACTGCTTGAAATCCTACTGTTTACTTTCTCAACATGTGATTTCCAGTTCAAATTACTATCAATGGTGACACCTACAAATCTCCTGTCGTGCACTTTCTCAATTTTTTTCACCGTCGATTAATATTTAATTCAATTGGAGCTTTTCTATAATTCCATAATTCTATTAGTTTTGTTTTTCCCAAATTTACTTTTAAATGAATTGAAGTTAGCCAGTTTACTACTGTGTTTAGTGTGTTATAAATTTCGTTCACAAAATTTGCATCATCTAGTTTATCTCTTGATAAGAATATTATAGCATCATCAGCATACATTACACATAGATGATTGATCATTAATGGAAGCTCGTTTATGTAAATCAAAAACATCAGTGGGCCTAGTATGCTACCTTGCGGTACACCTAGGCTTAATTTTTTGAAATCGAAATGCACTTGAGTTATTGATTTTATTTTTTTGTCAAATATATCTAATAGTGTCGCCTGTATTCTGTAAGTTAAATAAGATTCTATTAATTTTAGGGCTATTCCACGTATGCCTATATGTTCAAGCTATTTTATCAATATATTATGAACAACACATTCAAAAGCTTTTGACAGATCCAAAAAGGGACCAACACAAGTCCTTTTTTGATCTACATTTTTCAAAATATCTTTCAAAACTTTGAATATAGCCAATGTCGTGTTCTTTCCCATTTTGAAACCCAAATTGATTTACATTTAAAATCTTATATTTGTCTAAAAATGATATTAACCTATTTGATATGACTTTTTCGAATATTTTTGAAAAATTTGATGATAGAACAATAGGTCTATATTGTTCATGTCATTTTGGCACCTTTTTTGTATAAAGGCTTTATTAATGTTTTTTTCAACTCATTTGGAAAAATTCCTGTTTCTAAGGTCAAGTTTATATTAATATACGTTAGAGGTTCCGCTATTAAATGTGTGCTTGATTTTATTATTTTCATTGGTATATTATCGTAGCCTATACTTTTTTTGTTCTTTAAATTGTTCATAATGTTAATAGTTTCGGAAATATTTACAGGGGTCATAAAAATGCTATTTAAATTTGGATTAGTCACTGGTTTGAATGTTATGTCGCTAATAGATTGGATAGGATTATTTAATTTGATATAATTGTAATGTCATCTTTTTGAATAGTTTCTATTGTCTCATTAATATTATTTATTTTTGTAGTATTTTGTTTAATAATTTGCCACGTAGCTTTACTTTTATTACTACTTTGGTTTATATAGTTAAGGGGAAATATAACCTCAAATGGCTTAGCAAGATCCTCCGTTATGCCGAAAGTATTGCAGCATTAATTTTGAAATAAATATATGGTAAAGTTGAGGATTAATTTTAAGGACTATGTTAGACGAAGCCATGATTCCGTAAAATTTTCTCGATAGAAAAAAATCCAAAGTTACCTCCAAACTGAACATTAAACCGCTGTTATTCATAAAATACTTTAAATAAGATAATGAAACTTTGCTTACTAACTGAACTAACTATAAAGCAGTGCTTATGTTATTTACTTTTTTAAATATCATTATTTTAACTGTAAAAGGAAATTACCTAAACTATCGGCGTCTTGAAATCTTGAAGCTTGATTCCTGTCGCCCCGTTAGTATCGCTTAGGCTTTTAAAGGGAGAAGTTGTGTCGCTTACGATCAGAATACACATTACGCAACATTAAAATGGGAAATAACCGTGATAAAAATAAGAAGCGACTGGGTTGGCGTTAAGAAACAGGCATAAATATGATAAACCTAATGAAATAAGTATCTAACGACCTATCTACTTACAGTATTAGTGATTACAAACATGTCGGTACATACGAGTAGCATACGACGCGCGGGGAAGTGAGGGCGAAATTAAAACTTATTATATCCCCTTAATGTTTGCATTTCTTTTTGATTGCTTGGTAACTGCCTTCATAATTTTACAATAACTTTTGTATCTATTTTTCGCAGCATGGCAGTTTGTATACTGTTTCTTTAATTATAACTGTCTTTTGTTCCTACTGGATATCGTAATACATTTTGTTTTCCACTTTGATCTCTTTTTATATGTTATTTTAATTTTTTTGTTTGGCACACAAACACCGTAAATCAGACTAAACTGATCTAAAAATATTGTATACGCGTCATTGGGATTACATTGTGAATAAACATCTGTGAAATTAATCTGTGATAGGTATTTTAAGAAAATCTCTATATACATATCTGGGTTTCTTATAAACATATACCAAAACTTATTCTTAAAGCTTTTGTTTGAGGGAATCGATATCCATTGACAAGTATGATCAGATATCCCAACATCTAATACACTAACATTATATTGTTTCGTATTAGTCATAATATTATCAATACATGTTTGTGAGTGTGAAGTAATTCTGGTAGGTATCAAAATAGTAGGATGTAATTTATAAGCCTGAAACATGTTCGGTAGCGATTTACTTTGTTTATGATTTTCTAATATTTTTCATCACCCAATACAAATATATTTTATAACAATTTCGTGTTCGTGTTGTTATTTTTCTTAATAAATATTCCATATTAATAAAAAAAAAACATCCAAGTCACTATTTGGGGTTCTATACACGGATATTATTAAATAGTTTAATCCACTTATTAACACACCACAACATTCAAAATGATTTTCTATAGCCATTTCTGATATCCATTGAAGTTCGTGGTAATCAATAGATTTTTTTACAAAAATGGCAACACCGCCTCCCTTTTTACGTTTCCTACAGAAATGAGCTACTTTTTCATATCCGTCAATTTGAAATATGTCAACTTCGTAATTCTTTAAAAAAGTTTCACAGAAACAACATATACATATCGATGTTTTTCTCCAGCATTAGCAATTCCAATTGTTCTGTTTTTTGGTTTAATACTTTAAACATTTAAGTGAATTATATTAAAACAGTTTTCATCTTTATTTACGAAAACAGTCTGAATTTTTGTTACTTTCAACAGTTTTGTTAGAACCTAGAGTAGCATTAGCTTGTTTAAGTTTTATTTTGTTGAAAATATATGGAATAGTTAGTTGAACTTTACTTATATTTGTGTTATTATTAGTAACATTATTCGTCTTTGTGATATTATTTTTTTGAAGTATTGTGTAATTTCTTTTTGCACTATTTTTGAGTTAGGTTGTTTTAAACATTGCGTTTTGATGGTGTTATAATCAACAAATCTATTTCTGTAATCTACACTGAGTATTTCTCTTAACATCAGTCTACTCATATATCTTATAATGTTGCTTTGTGTCACCATAGTTTAATGGTACGAATCTAGCGTGATGAAATTGAGAACACAAGAAACGCAACTGATCATTTAATTTACCAATATTTAAGATTCTGTTGTTTAATATTTCACCAACTAGTACATTTGTGTTTGATAGTAAGAATAAGTGGTAATACAGAAAAGATCTGAAGCTAAGTGGGTTGCGGTCGTTTGAACCCGCTATAATTATAACATAGTCAGATTTAGTAAATCTTTACATATAGTATTACAATATGTTAAAATTTGTGATAGAAAAGCATTTAGTTTTACTATAAATGTCACTTGGAATTCTTTACCAATTATATTTTGGAGTAAACTGCGAAAACCTTCACCGTTTTGATCATTTAATATTAATACCTTTTTTTCGTCTCATTTGTTTTAGTATTGTCAGTGAAGTCTTCTCTTTCCTGTGCAGGGAATTCAGTAGTATTACATTCTCCGGTGTCTTTTTTGGGCTGGATGATTTATTTTCATCTGATTCATTATGTGGTTGACTAACAAATTCATCTTTTGTTTGGTCTAAGCATGTAAAATCAAATTTATTTTTATTTAGGCTCTTGCGTCATTTTATCCTATCGTCCTTATCGGCGTTGTTCGACATATGTGTGTCAGTTGATTCGTCTTTTTTTCATAGTTTTAAATTTGTCTTTTTAGAGAGCTATTTTCCAATAAATTTTCTATTTCTGTTTAGGCTATTTGGAGTTTATTTTCTAAGTTAGCTATTTTTATTTTGAGGTCATTCAAAACCTCGTTCATAATAAGACCTGCTTCGGGACAGCTTCTGTTTAAATTCGGTGTTTTGGAAACAGAGAAATCATCATCATCCAAAACCTCAGAGTAGAGAGATGCAAAAGAGTTTGCAGTTGTAATTTTTTTTCTTCTATCCCGCTTACACAGCAATATGTCGTGGAAATTTAGCTGTTTCCTTGTCTGAGCTATGTCTGATTATTTCAACCTCCTATCCAGATGCATACCTAGGTATTTCGCGGTACCTTCGTGTGGGATTTGTTCTCCGTTCAGTGTAATTGGTGGACAGTCGCCTTTTTTTAGAGTGAAGATGACGTGAACTGATTTGCTTTGATTAGCCTTTATTCTCCATATTTTCAGCCATTTTTCTATCTCATCAATATGTTTTTGGAGATGTGCTGATGCGATTGTTGGGTTGGCATTAACTGACATTATTGCAGTATCATCAGCGTATGTGGCAATAAAGGTTTTATCATCAACAGGGATGTCAGCAGTGAATATAAGATACAGTGTAGGCCCTAATATGCTCCCCTGAGGTACCCCTGATCTGTTTTCATACAGATCAGACGTGGTGTTGTTCAGTTTAACTTCATAGCATCTTTTGTTTAAGTAGCTTTTCAGTAAAAAGTAGAAGGTATGCGGCAGCTGTTTTTTGATCTTGAATAAGAGTGTGTCGTGTCCATCGTGTCAGACTCTATCAAATGCCTGACTTATATCCAGAAACACAGCCGAGCAATATTTCTTATTTTCAAGCGTATAACCGATGGTATCTGTCAATCTGTGAACCTGCGCAATGGTTCCATGCCTTTGTCTAAATCCAAATTGGTGCCCAGGAAGAATAGCATTAAGATGAGATTGCATTCTATTGAGGGTAATTTTTTCGAACAATTTCCCCACCAGTGGAAGGAAACTTCTTGGTCTGTAGGATGAGGCTTCTTTTGGCTGCTTTCCAGGTTTGAGGATCATTACGACTTGAGCAATTTTCCACTGACCCGGGTAGTGGGAGAGTCTTATAGATGAATTGAAGAGTGTAACAAGAAATATTATGCCACTCCTCGGAAGATTGCTTAACAGCACGGAGTCCAATAGGTCATACCCCGGAGCTTTATTGGGTGAAAGAGATTTTATCTCCCGGCTTATTTCTTTAGGACTTACTGTTTTTAATTGGGGACATAATTGATTTGGAGACTGTAGATAATGAGGATCAGTAAAGTTATAGAAAATTCAATAAAACTAGTATCCACGTTATTCTTTATAACATAAGAATTATATATCTTTTTGAATTAGCCAAATCGGACCATTACTTACGATGATATTAAGTAATAAACATAGGCCGTTCCTGTCGCTAAAAGTCAATGCACGGAGGTCCGCGTGACGTCACTGTGACGGAACCGAACGCATCATAGTAGTTCATACATGTATTCTGTGGTAGTTCACGATTCGACGGAGCGCGGAAACGCGGTTGGGCACTATATTTGGCAATTTATTTAAATAAAGTGTTGTTACAGTGTAATTTTGTGATTGTTTAAGTATTAAAGATACATAATATGAGTGCTAATAAAGTAGAAGCTGGTTTTGTGCAAGCTCAATCAGATAACCTTCCAAAAGTGGATTCTTTCATGGTATTTGATTATCTAAGTAATCATTCTAAGTTCACCAGCGCTGAAGTCCGTGGTTGGAAACTACAAAGGTAAGGGTGCTACTTATTTATCTACGTTCGTAGGTACTTATTAGTAATCTTTAGGAATAAGCTGTATAGGTAAATAAATGAAAGAATGAATGTTGTAAAGTATAGTTACGGGCAAAGATGTATAAACATCTTAGGTTACAGGGACGTATTCATAACTTATGAATAGTGTTTATAGTATCTTGATAAAAGGAATTTTGTTTTCGTTCATTCATATGTAGATCATTTTGCAGATGATTTTTAACTTACTTGCACTTTATTTATTTCATGGTTCCCTACACTTGCTGATCTATGACAGAAACCTTAATATTGATTGTAAATGGCAGATTTTTTTCCATCTTGCTCATTGTTACAAATCATTCGTTCAGTATGTATTTAAGTAGGATGACTTGTTTTGTATAAAAAATATATAATACTAGCGAACGCCCGTGACTTCGCCCGCATAGACTACTATTTATTTATCGTAGAGGAACCGTGTATTTTTCCGAGATAAAGCACTTTTTATACCAGAAAAAATGCACGGTTCCTGTAAAATTTCATCCATATCTGTTCAGCAGTTTTTGCTTGAAAGAGGAACAAAGATACATTCATCCTCACAAACTTTCACATTTATAATATTAGTCGGAAGTAAAATATAGTAGTAGGATAGAATTTTGTTATTTGTATATATTTTTAATTCGTTTTATTTATTTATTACAGATCGGCACGTGAAACCTATGGAGATGATGCTGTAGGATTTGTTCAAGTCCAGAGGTCGGGACGTGTTTGTACGGTAAAAGCAAAAATAACGCCTGAACATAGAATAAAAAGTAAAGCGTATAGCTGTACATTTACATGTGATGAAAAAGAGGAAACGGTTTTGAACGTGGACTGTCATGACTGTGCTGCTCAAAAGGGAGGTTGCAAACATAGCGTAGCGTTTTTGATGTGGCTTCATAGACGCAGCGAGGAGCCATCTCCTACTGAAAAAAAAATGTTACTGGGCCAAACCAAAGCTGGCTACCATAGGTACTAAATTTATAAAAGCTAAAGATATGGGTCCCAGTTCAGTTACTACTGAAGATAAAAATACTGATAACACCAATTCAGATCAGTTTTTTCCTAGCAGTTGTGCAAAGCCTAAAGGAACATTCTATTAAAAATCAGTTATCAGTATACGTAACAAAGAATGAGTATAAAAAAAATGTCTTTGCATAACCTCATTCATCAATACAAAAATGAAGGCAATAATATAAATAGTGCAGATGATTTTATTGATTATTGCTCTACTAAAATCACCATAGAAAAATGTCACAAAGCAGAGGAAGCAACAGTTTGTCAAGCTAGTTCACCGTTATGGCATGAGTTAAGGTATTGTAGAATAACCGCGTCTAAAGTTCACGAAGCTGCACATTGCAAGACTCCTGATGGTGCTTTGATTGAACAAATATTTGGTGCCTCTGTACCCGAGACTCTGTCTATGAAAAGAGGCAAACGATTGGAATCCAATGTCAGAGCAGAAGTAGCCAAAACAAGGAAAATAGTTATTGAAAATTGTGGTTTTTTTTTTAAAACCTGATTGGCCTCATTTAGGTGCTTCTCCAGATGGATTGACAAGTGAATACGTAGTAGAAATAAAATGTCCCTCGACAAAGAAAGGAAAGGAAAGTTTTGTAAAGAATAGTGTTATCGGCAGCAAATGGAAAGCTCAAATTCAGCTACAAATGTTTTTATGCAATAAAGTCAAGGGATTGTTTTGTGTAGCTAATGAAAATTTTGAAAGCAATAAAAAAGTAGAAATATTTGAAGAATATTATGATGAAAACTATTGTACTGATCTTTTAGAGAAGTCCACGCATTTTTGGAAAACATCAGTGTTTCCAAAACTAGTTGAGACTTAAAATTATTCTTTTATTAATAATATGACATGTGCTTTTGATGTTGCGAGGTTGTCGAAATAAAACTATAAAAGAAACGAAAGCATTTTTTTTTTACACTTGACTACCAAATAGACAATTCTGTAAATTAACTAAACCACAGGCTATTGTTACAATATTATCTAAAAAATGTACGTATGAAATATCGACACATGCGTGAGGTCCGATCATTTTAAAGTCTCTCAACTTCCCTATGCTTCTTTCAACGTGAACCCTTATAGCAGCGATTCTCTTTGTTTGCAAGACTTCCTCTGCTGTAAGTTTTGAGTTGGAACTCACACTAGGCGGCCTCAGGAGTGTACAACCACGTTGTTCCAGTAAATGGGAAATATTTTTGAAACCCCCTATCAGCTAACACAATACTTCCTTGTGCCAATTTGTCAAGAAATCCGCTGTCTTCAAATATTGTTGAGTCTGGAGTCCTCCCTCCATATCCCTCAGAGATAAAGTTTATCAAACCGTCAGGTGTAATTGAAATCAAGTACTTAATGGTATTGCAGCTTTTATATTGAGACCATGTAGCCGCTTGGTGCGAAGCGTTACTAGGTTTCTCGATTTGAATTTCAAAACAATCGATTATTGAAATCGCTTTAGAATAGCGCTTCCTAAAAAGCTATCGGCAAGTTTTCTCTGACATCATCTGCTGATGGCCAGATAATAAGTCGATTCAGGCACAGTGCAATTTTTGGGAGAGTTTTATTAAAATATTTAGTCACAGAACTCTCAGAGAGGCCAAAATGTAATTAAAATTGAATTTGGGTCATGCCATCGGATTTTTCGTAAAGTCACTAGGATTTCAATAGATGATATTTCCGTGAAGTTTTCTAAATGTTTAATACAAAAATATGAATGGGCAGGAATGCCTATCAGTAATTTTGGATCTCGAGATATAGACATTAGAGCGCCCTTTTGCATATGCTCATGGAAGAAATTTTTGTGCATTGTTTTTGTTATTTCTAAATCATTCGACTCGTTATCACTAGCACTAACACCAAAAAAACGAGTATTTTCACTTGAGTTTGAGTTGCTGATCGTGAAGCTAACGTTTGGATCAAGATTTTTAGGGATTACTTTTTTTTTTAACTATTGGTTGTTTCCATTTCATTGGCGTATTATTCGATTTAGTTTTCATTTTTGGTTTCATATTAACCTGCACTGCTTGTGTTTTTTGACCCCTTACATTGTTTTTTGATAATACGTCTATTTCTTCAGGTATGTAAAAGGGATCACTGTTTTGGATGTTATTTGAGTCTTGATTCTCACACTCTACTACTTCAATGGAATGCAACAACAGGTCTTCGTGTCCAATATCTTTACTTAAAACTCTTTCAAAATATTCTATGTCTTGTCGTTTTTTAAAACCGGGTCTGTCAATTTTCTTTTTTTGAGGCTTTTGGCATTCAAACTTATGAGGCAAAATTCCCTTCTTCAGTTTAAGCTTTCCTCCAACTAACTTAAACTTTACGTAATTTTCCATATCTTCTTCTAACTGAAATATAAAAATGTATATAAGTATTAATTTATTTGCCTCTATCAATAAGGCATAGCTGAGGCAGATACATAAATTCACCGCTGTTATGTAAATGGTTAAAGAATCTTTCACTCTTTGCTTTTTACCCGAGTACGTCTCTAGGTCCTTGTTTTGACCTTTTAATACGAAATACGATGCTTTTACACATAAGCAGCTGACCCGATTTTAATGACTTTTAGTATAGAGATAACTGAGATCTTAAAATGGATATAGGCTACTTTTTATCGCAAAAATAAAACTTTAAGGGGATGAAATAGAGGTGTGATAAAAACTTTCTGTGACAAACTGAATTCAACGCGGGCGAAACCGCAGGCAAAAGCTAGTAATACATAGAAATGGGAACGGGCGAATATATAGGTTTACGTTATTAGATACGTTAGTACGTAGGTTTATCAACAAAACGTAGAAAAAGTAAATAGGTATGTTTTTATTAATACAGCAGGCTTAAAATAAGAGAATACACAGGTACACTACACGTAACATAAGGTACCAACGTATTTCCATATCAACTAAATAATAGGTATAATAGATATGTAGGTACGTACATCGAAGTGATCTTCACAGCAATGTCTTGTAGCCTGGGCAGAGGGTGTAGTTTTATCATCTCTTTTTTGCAATGGAATACCATTTTTTACGAAGTTTTGGGTCTTTCGGTACGTTAAAAAATAGTTTTTCTGGTGTTTTAATAGAAGTGTTTGTACATTTCGGCACTATACAATATTTATACATAGTTAAAAAGGTGAATTAGACACAAATCGGACACTTAACTTGTTTCAAAGTTACAATTAACCAAACAAAACACTGCGCGCCTTATCGCTGCCAACGGCTAACTGGCGAAGACCATCATAGTGACGTCACAGGTACCGCGCCGGGCCGTCAGTGAACTTCGCTAGTAATTTGGCCATAACTTCGTCATACTTTGTCGTAGAACAAAAATTTTTGCACTGTATGTTAAGGATTTCTTAGATCTATAAATCTGCATTCTCAACTAAAAACGTTACGGATCCTCATTCGCTATGTGCATCGTCTTTATCGAGGTCGGAACAAGGTAGTGGTGTAAATACTTTTTCTAGGTGTACTGCGAATGCTGTTGTTTTTTCTACATCAGTCCTAGCCCAGCTTCTATCCAATTTTCTCAAGGGCGGGATTTGGTCTTTTGGTTACTTAAGGTTCTTGGTTGCGCGCCACAGTGAATAATTAGTATCCGTTTGTGATGTGAGTTGAGATAGGTGACTTTGTACACAACGATTTTCATGCTCTTTAATCATGTCTTTTAGTTCCTTCGTTGCCCTGTTTGGCTGAGATTTATCGGAAGAATATCTAGTTTTATGCCATTCTCCTCTTAATTTGCGTCGTTCACTGACCTTCGCGATTATGTTTCTTCCTTTTGTTTTGTTTTTGAATTTCTATTTTTAGGAGTGGAAACGGTGCGGTGGCAGCCATGTGTACAATGCTGTTGAATTTTTCAACGCCGGCTTCGATTTCATCGTTTGTCTTTAGACTTATGTTTAGGTCAATGTTACTACGTATAAATTCTCTGTACTGGTCCCAGTTGGTATGTTTATTGTAGATCTTGGGGAGTGGCTTAAGGAAAATGGTCTGTTTATAAATATTTAAAATGACTGGAGTATGATCTGATGACAGATCTTCACATTTTTCAATCTGTAAATAGTTTTGCCCAAGATTCTTTGAAATATAAAAGTCTAGCAAATCTGGTACTTTGTTATGGTCCGTTGGCCAGTACGTTGGTTCTCCACGCGAGATACATTCGAGATTGAGGTCTAGAGTGGCTTTATATAGCTGTCTGCCCCTAGGGTTGATCAGTCTTGATCCCCAGAAAGTGTACTTGGAGTTCCAGTCTCCTCCGCAGATAAATACTGGACCCAATTTGTTGAAAAACAGCTTGAACTCATCAGCCTCGATTTTGGCTCGTGGAGGACAATAGATTGCAGTGAATGTTGTCTCAGTGTTTTTGTGGTGTATTTTAATTGATGTTGCCTGAATTTTTTCTGTTTTGTATACTTCGAGAGGAAGCCTGTGTGGTGCGTTGATTTGTCATTCTCGTTGATGATCTGTTTTGGGTGTGTAGTAACGTGTGTTTGTTTGGGTTGTTGGGCAGGTTTGAGGCTTAGAATTTTTTCCTTGTACTGCTTATATATGCTTATGCCTTGACAATTAGCGCACACTGCTTCTGACTCAGGAGTTTTGTTACATGTGCTTGTTGGGTGATCATTTCCACATTTGAAACATCGAAAAGGTCTAAAGCATTGATTTTTACAGTGCCCAAATCTTTGACATCTCATTACTATATTTTATCATACTTCTACTTCTTTTTTCTTGTAAGGTGCTTCGATTGTAACTTTGACATGGTTGATGTATTTTATACTGAAAATATCCTTATTGTTATCTAAATCTACAAAGTAGAGGGGTAGTTTTTATTTTGTTGTTCTATGCAATTCGTTGACTATTTGACGTATGGCACGCCCTTTGGCTTGCAGCTCTTCTTTAATCATGTCAATATTTTCTGACGCATGTAAGCCTCTTATCACTACTCTGTACGCCCTTTCACTCTTAAGTTCGTAAGTGTAGTGGTTGATGTTATTTTTAATTAGATTGTCTCTTATTGTTTTATAGGTTTCGATGTCCACAGGCATTAGCTTAATGATATGTCCTGATCTTAGCGTAGTCATCGTAAACTTATCAATAGCCACAACTTTGACTATAAGTTCCCTTAAGGGTGTTATGTTGACAATACCAGTCACAAAAATTGGTTCTGGTTTTGGTATATATTCTTTAGTTTTAGGTGCGATTTCAGGATATTCGTCGCTGAGGATGTCGAATTGGTTTCGAACAGGAACTTTATAGTTGACTTGTCTTGTGTACTTCTGTTTACTTACACTTTCCGTTGGGCTGTCGGATCTTTTACGTTTTTTTTTGGTACTTTGTCTCGCTGCCATTCGTTGATTGGTTGTTCATCCTTTTGTTGACATGGCGGACTCCGTAAATCTGCATTTTCAGATTGCATATCATTGCTTGGGCGGCCACGAAAAGAAAAGGATTTCGTTCTTGCTTGGAAGAATTCTTTATGGAGAATTTGTTGTGTATAGGTTTTTTGGGATTTGTTTTCATTGTTCTGCATTTTGATTCCCACGAGTATGGACGATAGAAGGGTCACTCTCAAGGTGACGCCGTTCCTGAGAGAAGGCTATGTACAATGGTGTTCGCCTGGTTCACCAAGGTTGGCGCTAGTGACTGGGACCCCCAGCCATACATCCTTTTGGTGCGTCTCCCACCGTAGGATTGTTCGGAACGGGCAGTAAAGCCAATGCCCCCGATTCTGTGCATTACCACAGTGTAGCGGGTGATGGTAATCATTTCCTATCACCATTGGTTTGGTCTTATTCGGGTTAGTTAACCGCCGCCCGATACTCAGCGTTGACCTTTTACGACTGGTTTGGTCTATCCTCAGTCTGCCCTCCTCTTTTCGCATACGGGCTTGGGACCTTCAATGGCGGAGTTGCAGTTGTAATGTTTACGTTATTTTTACTCCGGCGTGTAGCAAAGACTTGTGGTGTCGATGTATTACTTGCCTGTATTTCAGCTGATGTTGATGGGTTATTTGTAATTCGACATTTATTTTTGCAATTTTCACAGTTCCAGTTATGACTTTCCTTCTGTTTCATTAAATAAAACAATTTCTCTGAGATATTCGTGCAAGTGAGATGATTCAATTTTTTTTACAGTGAGAACATTTCAAAAACTGTCTATTAAAAATAATCTTGTCGCATTTTGTACATTTTCTTGTCATTGTAATGCAGTATTGTATGTCCGCTTTGTTTATATGTAAAAATGTCCGCTTCGCTCGTGTGTCTTCAAGCCGTCAGACGTAATAGAAATGACTCACCACAAGTGTACGCTGCAGCGAGCGTAGTGTACTTACTATGAAAGAATTCGTCCGTTGTGTATAATTTTTTTAATAGTTTTCGTTATATCTTCGAAGTAAGCAAAACTTTTTATAAACAGTTTTCACTATTATATTACTGAGTTCGCTATCTACACTTTAATATATAACGCAACAATGATCTTTTGTTTTTATATTGGTTCACAATTAAAAAAGCCCGGAGCATAGAAATACGTCTCTGCCTTGTAAATCGCACACTCGCACATTCCTTAACGTACTACATTATGCAAAACATGACGATATATCGATATTCATCACGTGAATATATCGGTACCAAATCTTTGATCGGTACTTTTTAAAAATATCGTTACGATATATATCGATAGTACCCGGTTGACCGAGCTTTGCTCGGTATTTTTCGCTCGGTTTTTTTTTAATTCGTGTGTTTTGGAAATTATATTTAGATACAAATTACGTACTGATGAAATATAAATAATATTTTTTGATCTTAGCGACATAACAGAAAAAACGGAACTTGTTATTTGAATAAAAAATCATGAGTGCAATTATTTTAATTTAAATTTTCGTGTTTTTAAAAAATACTAAAAAAAGGGCTCGAAAAAATAGATTTTCTCAAAAAAGAAAGGAACTTGAAAAAAAATTAAAAAAATCGGTCGGTCGGTCTGGGCTCGAACCGGGGTTTTACGATTCTGTGACCGCCCATTATACCAATTAAGATATTTATAAACGAACCATAACTTCAAAAAACACAAAAAAAAAACAACCCCCACCCCCCCCACCTATATATATATATACAAGAATTGCTCGTTTAATAGTATAGGATAGTTTTTCACTTGCACATCCCTACTCGTCGCTATTACCACATAAGTAAACGGAATATTGCTAGCATTCAGTAATATATGGCTAGCAGCTAGCCGGATACCCGAGTGAACTCCCCCGCACGCTGCTCTCCCGCCCGCGTCTGCTTCATCCCCTTAAAATCTACGTGATCACGATACCATTTCCTCTTAACACTTTTTCTGTGAGCAAGGTAGAAATTAAATCTAACCCTGAATTATGGCTCAGTATGTTATAAAACTTTCTTTTCTAGTTTGCTCGGGAATATTATCTCTGTGTAGAAGTTTGACATCCAACAGGTCTTCATAAGCTGAATAGAATCATTCAACGTCAGTCCATGAGTTTCAAGCGTTTTAATGTAAGGCTAGTTTAAAAGGGGCCAAATATGCAAATGCATATATAATCCGATCTTTAATTAATTATTATCTATTTAATACAAACTAACTTCTAAATACACATCAGTTTTATAACATTTAATCAATAGGATTTTCAATATTCACAAAAGTGCCTAACATGCCTAAAGTTTTCACTTCAAAAATAATATTTCATAAGAAAGCGTTTAAATATTGGGTGCATTTGGCAGCAAAAAAAGCGCTAGCAAGCGCTTACTAAGCGCTGAAAGGTAGTTTTCGGCCAGGACACGATTGCTACTTCAGTAGCGCTGACACAATCCGCTATTTTGCTTATTTGTTTGTTTTGAAGTAGAGTTTATAAGTTGTTTTGTGCAATATTAGTTTTAAGTAATATAATGACATGAATAAACATATACATGTCATTAAAAATTCATGATTGGTAAGTTTTTAATATGAATACTTTACAAACATATATTTAAATTAGGTTAGGTTCTTCGGTTAAAACTAACATCGTGTCCTGGAGGAAAATAGCAACTTACGATTTGACAGCGATTACCGCTTACGATCGCCATTTTGCTTACAAGCACTTGCTAGCGCTTTTTTCTGCCAAACGCACCCATTATTGTTACAAGCCATGAAATTAAAAAAAAAGAATTATTTTCGCGGCTCCCGCCAACTCGCCATTTTGTTTTTCAATTTTTAATGCTGATCGTTGTTGATCGTTAACTTTAAACTTTCGGTAGTGTTATAAAAAGTTTTAGTTTTACGAATAAAATGGAGATCGGTGATATTCAAAAAGTTGCGAATAGAAAACGAATGAATACAGAGGTTGAAAAACTGAGAGAAAAAGTTGCGCGGGAGACCTCTAAAATTATCAAGTTAAAGGTAACGCCTGATATTTTATGAAACATAGGAAGTAATTATTTGCACGTTTTTTATTGACACTTTAAAGTCTCGTTTTGTTCTAACTCAACCAGTGTTATCTATTAATCAGTATATTTTTGATGGAGATTATATTTTAATTTACCCTATTTCTATAATACCAATGTTTGAGTTTTATTGTTTATTACGTATTATGAAAACTGTACATAAAAATTTTAGGGTTTATGACCATAAGAAATTGTTTATAGAATAGTGATATTATGCTTTATATTTTATTAATGCCTTTATGTTATGTGAAATACTGTGTATATATTGTGTGTGAATAAATATGATATGACTATGAGGAATATAGTTATGATCAATATATGGAAATGTGATAGTGAAAATTATCGGTACTGGGGGAGGGGGGGATTTTCGCGCCCGGCTCTTTATAAGATTTATCTCGGGAGTACCTTAGTAAGTTGCTCAATTTTTAATTCTTTGGGACAGTTCGGGATTTGCTACAGATTTCGGTTAAAAATCAAGAAAGAAAAGAAATTAAGAAAAGTATAGTAAAAGTATTGAAACTTCATTATCACATTTCCAAGGAACAGTTACAATTAGTCAGGCAGTAGGACTCCATTAATAAGTCTCATCTCTTAAACAGAGGCTGACAGCATAGCATGATTTTAATAGTGCCATAAGACTAAGAGCGAACCAGACGCACATCACACATCGTTTCATATGATCACATTTTCATTTTTCGATACAGAACAGTACAATTCGGATACAGAATTATACATACATCTAGACCATAAGAATCACAATAGGGTTGTTGTTGGACATACACACTGATCATTGATCAGGCTTACCAATTATGTAGGGTCAGAGCTGGATTTAAGGTAGGGAACTTGGATTAAAGTTCCGAGATCATCAAAAAAGAGGAGCTTCCCTATTAAGTTCTTTTGTTGCCAAGGTTCACTAACAAAGATATTCAAAATATGAAGCAATGATTGAATTTTTACTAACGTCAGTTTTATATTTAAAAATGTTTTGTTTTATTTTAAAAGCCGGTTTGCAGTAAATGAATTGCATGGAAACACCTTTTTTAAAGCAAAATACCAGTTCTACTATTTATGAACCGTTTCGTTTATTCATTTTAAGTTATCCTAAGTTGCTGAATAAATAATTTGTATTATAAACTCTTTTAACATGCACCTCTCCATGTAATAAAACTGGATCGTCACGGAGAACGAAACGTTTCTTGAATATAGGAATCGGACACTAATATTTTAAAAAGCAAAAACAGCGGACGTGACCTGACAACCTCCTTTTTTTATGAAATATGCGCATAATCAATTATGATGTTGTCTATCCCATCAAATTGTCCAAACCATAACTAATGTAGGCTAAGCCAATTGTTATTTACCATTAAGCGTATTGTTTGCGAACAAGTATCAATTTTTATTAATTAGATACACATCTATCCGGCATGTGTTGCAAATTGCGGTGCCTATATTTGTCAAAAAACTTCGCGGGCACTTCATCGTAATCGAGTGAATGCTATATGAACGCTTGGAAAGCGAACAAACAAACAGATATTAATTTTATATATTAATAGCTGTTTCCAGCATGAATGCCGCTTTTTGTCAAAAACCTTAGCGGGCGTGCGCTTAACAACTCACCAAAGTTTTGTCGTAATCGGTTGAACGGTATGGCAGCACATGAAATACGAACAAACAAACAAACATTAATTTTTATATATTAGATGTTTATATTAATATTGGGTCTTTACATCGTGACCACTTTGATCTGAAATATCTCCTCTTTGGTTAACAATTCCAAATTCAAATTTATAAATTCATTTAGCTGGTACATTTGAGTTTTGAAAACAGTAATTCATTTGTTTTTCCCTCATTACTTTTTTCTTTGGCGTCGCTTATTACCGCACAATGGAAAACATCAAATATCGGTATATTTACGAGTATACGAGATCTATCGTGGCACCAGTGCTGCAGAAACAGCTCGAAGGATTATTGATGTGTACGGTGCTGGTGTCGCAAAAGAAAGCACAGTACCTTTTTGGTTTTAACGTTTTCGTCCTGGAAATTTCAACCTTCAGAATGAACCCCGTGGACGGTCGGAAACCAAAGTGGAAAATGAAGA